GTTTTAATTTGCATCTCCCTTATTACAAGTGATGTTGAACATTTTTTTCGTATGCTTGTTGGCCATTCTGTATTTCCTCTTTGGAGAAGTGTCTTTTTAGCTCTTCTGCCCATTTTTTGATGGGGTTGTTTACTTTTTTGTTGTTGAGTTTTGTCAGTTCTCTGTATATTTTTTTGTTATCAGTCCTTTATCACTGCTTTTGTGTGAAGAAATTTTTTCCCAATTAGTGGGCTGTCTGTCTGTTTTTTGTAATGTCTCTTTTGCTATACAGAAGCTCTTTAACTTGATGTAGTCCCATCTATTTATCCTTGCCTTCACTGTTGTGGCTTTGGGTGCTCTTATCTTTTTTTTTTTATAAAATGTGTTCAGGGAATTCCATCTCCCTCAGTGTTTTTTGTTTTTTTTTTTTAAGATTTATTTTTATTTGTGCATACCGAACTGGGGTGCAGGCCAGAGGTGCAGGGGCGGTGAGAGAATTCACCAGAAACAGAGTGCGGAGCAGAACAGGCAGATCAACAAAGTACACTGCTGAGGGGAGCAGCGGACGGGTCAAGAGAGGCCTGCCGCGCCATGTGGTCACCTCTGGGGCAGGCGGGGATCGAACTCATGCAGAAGTGGCTTTCGATTCTTCGTGCTGTGCTTTAACCCACTGCGCCACCAGGGAGGGTCCGGGTGCTCTATCTTTAAAGATGTCACTGAAGTATATGTCGTGTAGTGTTTGGCCCATCTTTGCTTCCAGGTATTTTACGGTTTCCGTTCTTATGTCTAGGTCTTTAATCCACTTCAAGTTGATTTTTGTGAATGGAGTGAGGTAGTGATCTAGTTTCATTTTTTGCATGTAGCTTCCTAGTTTTCCCAGTGTGCTGGGGATGTGTTTTGAGAAATGTGTCACTAGGCAGTTTGGCATGCATCCATCACAGGTAGTTACACAAACCTCGGTGGCACAGCCTGCTACGCTGTGCTACTTACTGGACCACGGTTGTATATGCAAAGGACCCTCTTGACAGCAGCTTTTCTAGTGGTGGTCATGAACACCACAGCCACAGGGGACGTGTCGCACGCACAGCTTCTGTCTTCCTGGGTGCCCAGGTCTCTGCTGTTCGAGGCAGGAGGCGCTCCTAGAGAGGACAGACTCTAGCCTTGCCCCATGGTGGGCCTCCTTCCCCTCACCCTAGGCTGCCGGTACTGGAGACCGCGTTCCCAGCTGGAGAGCCTCGCCCCAACCCACTGGACTCCATCGTGAGCAACCGCTTCCCACGCTGGTTTATCCTTGGCCACCTGGAGACCCGCCAGTGCGAGCTGGCCTCCTCCATGCTGACAGCTGCCAAGGGTGAGGACAGCAGCCGCCCCCACCCCTCTGTCCTGTTAATACCTTCCTGTCCCCGCTTTCTGTCTTTTACCACGTTCCACCAGTTTCTTTGGATGCTTTGCACATATCCCAGGCACTGTCTCAGGTGCTAAGGATTCAGCAGTGAAGAAAACTCCCCATTCCCATGCCCTCTTTAGTCACATTGTAGTGGGGCAAATAGACCATATAGTCTTGGTGAGAAAGATTGTCATGCAGTGGGTGAAAAGCCTGAGAGTGCTACAGAGGGGAATGAAGGTGAGGGGGTCATTTAAACAAAGACCTGCAGCTGGGGGCACAGCCATGCTGACATCTGCTGTCCCTGGCAGCTCAGGCTGCCATGCAGAACACCACAGCTTGTGTGGCCTCAGCCAGACATGTATGTTCTTGTGTTTCTGGAGGACCAAGTCCCAAAGTCAGAGTGTCAGCCTGGTCAGTTCCTGAAAAAGAACTGAAAAGCCCCACTCTTGCTGTAGCTCACGTGGTAGGGGCTTTTTTTCCTCTCTTAGAGGACACTTACCCCATCGTGGGGACCCCACCCTCATGACCTCATCTGAACCTGATTGCCTCCCAAAGGACCCCCACCCCCTAATGTCACCACACCATTATATACATCACGCTGTGTGAATTTTGGAAGGATACAATTCAGTCCCTAGTATCTGAGAAGAGCATTCCAGGCAGAAGGATCAGACAGTGCAAAGGCTCTTCAGTCGAACTATGCTTAGGATATTTAAGGGACAGAAAGGAGGAGCCAGGTGTGGCTGTAATGGAGTGACAGAACTGTAGGAACTGGGCCATTGGTGACAGTAGTGTTTTATCAGCACCATACTTGCATAACTCCTCACCACGGGGAGGTCTTGATGAGTTGGGGTCACCACAGGCCTGGGAGGCAGGTGCCCCTGCAGTTGCATTACCCATTTTACAGAAGTGAAGCAGCTTAATCAGGGTCACACAGCTAGTGAGTGTGGTAACAGGGCAAGGAATTGAACACTGGCATTCTGGGTCCCATATTCTCAGTATGCTTGACAGTGTGGGGTACACAGGTCCTAAGGTGACTTCTTTCAATTGGAAGGGGGATGGCAGAGGAGAGAAGTGGGACAGTGGTGAGGACAGTCTGGATCTTCACAGAACTGTTGCCAGGTCTCCCTGTGTGCTCATACATGCACTGTGTGGAGAACCTTCATGAGCATGTCTGGCAGGGGTTGGGCACCCCATGACATCAGTGCTCTCTGCTCCTCACCACCCCCAGGAGACCCCAAGTGGCTACACACAGTACTGGGCTCCATTCAGCAGAACATCCACTCGCCAGCCCTGCTCTTCAAACTGGCACAGGACGCCTGCAAGACGGCCACCCCAGCCAGCGCACCACCCGACACCACCCTGCTGGGCATAGCGCTGGAGCTGGGCCTGCAGGTGAGGGCCCCCCCAGGAGGACAGGGAGGGGAAGGGGGAGGCTGCCTGAAGGCGGAGCCTGAGTGAATACCACCTCTGAGTGGTGTCTGAGTGAGCACTGCCTCAGCTCTGGCCTGCAGATGCGGGCTTCCCAGGTGGGAACTGTGCTTCCTGGTGGGGTGGGCCTGTGGCTGAGGGACTTAGCAGAGAGCCTGAGGTGAGAGTCAGCCCTGAGGATGGCTAAGCAGCAGGAGGGGTAGGAGCTAGCAGGTGAGTGAGTGAGCGACAAGACGTGGCAGAGCCGGGGGTGCTCACAGGTAAGCCCTGTGCATGGGCAGGGCTGGCGCTGAGGGGCCAGCCTGCCAATAAGGACCTTCCTCGGGAGTGCAGCCTGTAGGGAGCCCCATTGAGGGCAGGGCGTGCATGGGGTGCAGGGATTGTAGCTGAAAGTCACGCAGGTGGGCAGCCCCACAAGGCCACCTCAGGCCAGCATGAGTACAGACTAGGTGAGGAGACCACTGCACTGCAAGGTGTGGGACATGGCAGGGGCAGCACCCATGGGGGCGGGCTCTCAGAAAGTGGTAGAAAAAAGAGAGTAAGAAACATCTTGGGGCAGAGTCTCAGATGGGATGGAACCTGCCCATGTAAAACCAGCAAATGGTGTGTCTGCAGGAGGCAAAATTGGCCTCTTCAGGAGGATGAGGCCTTGTAGGAAGTAGAGCAGGACGAGGGCTTATCTAGAGAGAGGAGTTTCCAGAAGCAAACAAGACCTGGGGTTGGGGTGAGGCAAGCTCCCCTCTGGGGAGAGACGAGCTTAATGTAGATGGAAGTTAAGGACGGCATGTGCTTTGGTTTTGGGCTGTTGAGGAGGAATGTGCTGACGTGAAAAGCATAGAACATTCAGGAAAAAAGGAACAGGTTGATAGGATCTCAGCATAGCACCAACTGTCGGCTACAACTTTAGTTGAACACTTTGAAGCAATAGGTACTGTTTAAAGACAGTAAGATAAGACTGTCTTTATATAGTTGTTGTTTTTTTTTTAAGATTTATTTATTTATGCATACAGAACTGGGGTACAGGCCAGAGGTGCAGGGGCGGTGAGAGGATTCACCGGAGACA